TGGGATGCGTGTACCTTAAATTTAAGTTGCGTGCGTTTAGTTCTAGTTAATCTCTGTAATTTCATTGTGAGCGCATTCAATACGAAAGCAGATTTATTGAACTTGGGACGAAATTTGGAATCTCTCATTTCGTCTCTCCTTTTTTTAATACTATGGTTACTTTGCTTGTTGCATTATCATCGAGTTTCCAAGTTTCAGAGTCAATGTGTCAAATCGGGGTACTGCAGCCTCGCGAAGGTAAGATTCTAATCTAGCCTCTTTCGTAATCTAATTTAGCGGTTCTTCGGAGCCCCACTGTGTTTTGGGGGTAGCACTAGACTAAATAGTTTAATCACGTTTTGGTACACTGACAGCAAAACTTGAAAACTCGACACTAGTACAATGAAGAGAGAAACAATAGCAACAACGATCGAAAGAAGAGAGGAGATGTGGGATACCTAGTTTCGTCCCAAGTTGAACAAACGTGTCTTTGTGCAGAATGCGGTGGTATGGCTGCGAATTATTGTATAAATTGTATGATTGTATGTATTGCATTATTATATGATTGTATGTATTTTATGTTGTATATGATTACACGTACTCTATGTATTTTATGACTGTGTGAAATATGAACTCATTGTTAATGCGATGGTTGTGTGTAATGAAGGGTGGATAGGATGTACTCTGTGACATATTGTGAGCCCCGTGGCGGGTCTCGTGTGTAGTCACCTCCTCGTGGAGTAACTGATATCGTTTTACAGACATTAAAGTTTGTAAAATTTTATCAAGCTATGTAAAATAAGAAACGATATACCGTAATGTCTGTAAAACGATATCAAGCTAAGAACTGCTCAACCTAGATCTACTGAAATGTAGAGACAATTAGTTGATAAGTAATCTGTTAGACCCCGAGCGGGGCACGGTAGGATGACGAGGGATCTCGAAGGGACATCGTGGGATGCGTGCGTTTCAGTTTTATTTAATCATGTGATGGTATCTATAAATTCAATGCAAGTACATTCTATAAAATTATACGGTTATTGCCATAATATATGCGGTATAATTTTCATTGTTTCTTTAAATATGAAAAATATTTTAAATATTACAACTTAATTATAATTACTTTAGTTTGAACTTTGATTTATGTTTTATTTTGTTAGTTTGTTAGTTTATTTTAGTTTGAAATTTGATTTATATATGTATATTGTGCTTTGTGGTTATTTTTCTTCAGCTTTTTCTTAAAATTCCTTTTGCTGTTTGTTTGCACCAATGTTAAGAGTTTGTGATAATTTTGAAATCGTATATCAAAAGGAGTTTCATTTTCCGTATTGAATATAATTTGTATTCACACATATACAGAATATTTTATAGACACATGAAGACTTTGTCTAATTTTTCGTTTTACTTCTTTCCCCCTGTAAGCTAATTGATCAATATGGAAGCTTAGTCCAAAGCACATCGCAATATTTTAATTACATGGAGAGAAATGAACGAATCGTTTCTAAAAATACAATTTAGAATATTTATATTTTCTATTAGTTTTTTTTTGTCCGACGTTCATAACAGCATTCAAAAATTTTATAATTTACGGAATGTTGAAACAATGGAAAGATTAAATTTCATACAAAAAGAATTGATGTTAGAATATGAACTTTTTGAATTAACTTAAAATTCGAAAAGAAAAAATATAGAAGTCAAAATATCTTTGTGTAGTACCATTAAAACCATTATTTCTTCATTGTTTCATTCCATCAAAGCTTCACAAAACTTCGCTATAATATAATTTATTACAATTTATAAATATTACGTACGTTTGTAGAAACTCAACGTAGTGTTGAATTACGTTATAGGATCTTATTTATTTATTAGCCATACGCTTGGCATTAAACATACTGCATTTATTTAATAAAATATAGCACAGTCTAACATGGATTCTGCGTATTATACAGCAGTTTCTTCTCCGTATGCCTGATACACCAATTCTGTTTCCTCCTTTGTGAGATTAACGAATGTATAATCGTAACTTGGTGCGTAAAAACCGAAGGCACTGTAATACAAAGGTTTTACTGGTTTCGACATACTTCCCTTATCTTCTCAGAATCCTGCTAATGCTCCTGTAGTGTTGTTCAATTTACCTGTAAGTTGCACAAACGAGGTTTTTGATTAATTCTTGATATTACACCGTTTCCCAGTACTATGATTTCTAAAAACTGATAGTCCCATCTTTCGTATGTCGAAGGAAACCCATTTTAGAATTCAACCTTTTCAACGTTAACTTATCCGATGCCGATTTCGCGGCTCCTCAAGCTCGTTTTAATATTTCCTTCGGCGTCATATCATCCAGAATGGCTTCAAATTTACGTGAATTTGCTAATCTCAAATTCCTCTGGTTCTTTTCTCTAAGTTCTTCTGCCTCTTCGTTACGCTTCTCTTTTTCCCGTTCCCGTTCGATTTGCATCTCCGTACCTAATTCAAAATCAAAGTCTTCTTTCGATATGTCCTGCATGTAAGTTAATACAGTAGTTGGCGAAGCTTTTCTGGTGTAACCATTATGAGGTCAACAAGCAATAAATTCATTGCTGCATTGTAATAAGTGGTATCTGGATAATTGTACATGGTGATGTTATCACAGTTTAATTTGATGTCTTCTACAAATTCATTTAAATTCAGATAGCTATTGTCATCTATTTTCTGCTGTATGGATTGAAATCCATGGGATTAGTAATAGTCTGAGATTATCCGGCTGCAACGTTATTTGTATCTGGCCAAGCAAAAATTTGTTGTGGATCACGTTTCTCCATTGGTCTAAGAAGATGTTCCCATAATCGTTCAAGATGTGTACGCTCGGCAATTTTCCTAGGCACGCAAGTTCTAGGTTCTCGATATGGCGAAAGAGTAATATTATGGCTAGTGACGACCCTGTGTGCTCCAGTTGACGGTGGTCTCGGTGGTAACAACCGATAATTAGGCATATTTTTAGGGATTAATATTCATCAAATCTCCAACCGATTCTTGGCTGGCTTCTCTTCTTTCTTCTTTTTGTCCTTGTGATCATGCTTGTTCCTTTTATCCGATTTTTTCGTTTTCGTTTTAAGTTCCTTTTGTCCCACATATGTCTACGGAACCGAGTTGGCCAAACCCAGGTCAAGGTTATTGTGACCTCATGGGTAGCGGGTGTGACCTGCGAAGGGTACGACCAGTATGGCCTAGTCACT